TATCTAGATTGGTCGGATAGTGGTCCGACGTCACGTACCAATAGTCTTAATATTAATATATATATATATATATATATATATATATATATATATATATATTTATTTATTTATTTTTTGGGTCAGTCTAGGTCTAGGTCTAAGCCTACTTAAATCTCGGTTTGATAACTTCAGATCTGGTTCTGATCCTAGTCCTATAAATTTTTACGAGTCCGGAACCCAATCCGTTACCTCCCCTAAATTAGTGAAATGCAATGCCAATAAATACAGTGCGCGCTGTGAATTTGGCGTATTCACTGGTCTGGGCTGACATATTAATATATGCAGGTTTGTTTGATGTATTCTTTATACATTAATGTACAATTAAGCTAAACTTTTACATGCTTATTATGCACATGGATCAGCCATTCTTCTAAGCCAAAGAGCAGGGTCCAGATCCCAATTCCCAATCCAACCTTTTATATTTCTTAAAAAAAAAAAAAGATACCCAACTCTTTACATCTAGCAAAAGCTCAGTAATACTTTCACCTCAAAAAGCACCATGAAAGTGGACTTCAAAAGCCACGAGTATTCTAATGAGATAATTGAACAACAGATAATATAATGATAACAACAGTTTCATACGTGTCAACCTACTGCATTCCAAGGGAAATTCTCACCCAGGAAAAGGAAGCTACCGAATACATGTACCATATCTTATCTTTTTATTTGTTCTGTCCTTGGGTTTTCTTAGTGAGGGGCACCTGAAATCTCCATTATAGAAAACTAGGTGTCGTGTCATGTGCCTGGAGGTAAATGGGATAAATAGAAATTCCATGTCAATAATCAATAAGTGATATAATACATGTATACAGCTACATAACACCATAGATATATGAATGCCTTAGGGAAACATGGGGACCAAGATCTTGCAAAAATGTCCCCGAAAGAATTGAATACAGGACAATTAGAGTGAGTTTACAAATTCATCCACTAGGGCAGATTATTGATGCTTCTTCTCCCCCCTCTTCCTTGTCTAATAAGATCTGCACCAAACCATTAGAGAATCTGAATGTTCAGCCCTTGTTTAATTTTCCAAAGATTAAGCTTTCATGTAACTATAACACATACATAGACCAAAACTAAACAAGTAAAAAAATCTAAAAGAGCAAAAAAAAAAAAAGAGAGGAAAGGAACTCACTCATCCTTCAGATATCTTAAAGATGCAGAACTCTACCCAAAATCTCTGGTATGATGTTCCAAGAAATTTAAGGATGGAAGTGAAGAAAAAAAGAACAAGAAGTTTGATTTGATTATTGAATCTTTGATTTCATTTTGGAAATCAGTTACTAAAAACAGACAATGAGACGTTCTATAAAGAATTATGAAACCAGTCCAAGCTGAATCATAGATATTCCTATGAAAATCGGTCTAGAAAATTGTGCAAGTGCGGTACCACAATACTAATAACCTCATATGGTTTTCAACTATTACGACATCATCTATTTCAGATCAGGAACACCAGGGATGACTTGTGTAATGGCAGTATCAGTACACGCCATAGGATCCAGATGCGAAGAATAAGAGTAATATAATAAGATGTGATGAACTATGGTCAGACTCAGATATTGATTATATGGAGGCAATACAAAATGGACTATTGCATGATAACACTCAATTTAGATGGTTCCAAGTTGAGGTCCATGACAAAGGTCCGCTGAGTGTTATTGAAGTTGACCTCCACTTTAGTAATCCATTGGATGGACTGGACATTAGATCCCATTATACCAGAACTTAGATTTCAGTATTTCAAAAATAAAAGAATCCTTTGTAAGTGGCTTTTCAACTTTTTTATGGGGTTTGTCTTGAATTTGAGACTTGTCCTACTGATTTACTGCATTGGATTCTATATTCCTATCAAATGTGTAGATCCCAGTGGTTAAGGTTCATGCAGGGGAGACTCAGTTTCTAAGAGTGCACAAATCTTGTCCTATGTGCATGAGATGGAATATTACTGTATTGCCCTCAGAAATAAGAGGTTTTGACAAAAAACCCATCACCATTCGAGTAATAAATGACAAATGATATTTAACAAAGAGGGTAATATTGTCTCTCTGTAGCAAAACTATGAACCTGCAGTGATCAATTAGTTCATATAATTATTCATAAAGAAAAAGCATATACGATTAGCCTCAATATTTCACCCTTTGACAGGCTATAAATGCAATGGAACATTAAAGATACCCTAATAATGTGTTTAAATACAATAACAAAAATGAAAACAAAAATCCATGTACAGGCAAATTGCAGTCCAAGCATCTAACAGTCTTTAATAGTATGAAACTTCTTTCTATTGTTTATTCAAAGAATTAAGAATAGATCCACAGTCTAGGTCAAAAAAGCATAAAGTCTCTTAACTAAATAAGTGAGAAAATTGTACATAAGGTTCCATAAGAATATTGAGGTTTATTAGCTGTTAATGGTGTTGATAGAAACAGGCACATATATATCTTTACCATATCTGAGTCTAGTAATACTAGGAGTAGGAATGAGGAATTAGTTAGCAACCTATGATGGATGGTCAAGAAGTACTTAAAAGAAATTACTTTTCCATATCTTGGATCATAATCCATGAGAATGGAGAGACTAAAGAAGATACCACACATAGAATTAAAGCTGATTGGACTAAGTGGAGATGTGCTTCCGGAGTCTTATGTGATCGTCACATACTGATGAAACTGAAGAGGAAGTTCTATAGGATGGCTATAAGACAGGCCATGCTTTATGAGATGGAATGTTGGGCGATCAAGAAATAACATATCCATAAAATGAGTGTAGCTGAGATGAGGATGTTGAGATGGATGAGTGACAAGACAAGAAAGGATAGAATTCATAATGAATACCTCTGATGGAACTTAGGGATGACTCCAATAGGTGACAAGATGAGTGAACATAGACTTAGGTGGTTTGGCCGACCTAGAACAATACCGCTTAGGAGGGGCGATTTGGTTCAAGTAGAAGGCTCTAAAAGGGCAAGGGGAAGGCCTAAAAGGACATGGATGAAAGAATGAGAAGAGAAGAGATATGTTGACTTAGGATCTGACTGAGGATGTAGCCTTGATTGAGTGGAATGACAGAACATGATTCGTCTAGCTGACTCTTAATAGTTGGGATAAGGCTCAGATGATGATGATTATTTGAGTTGACTTCGGCAAGCACTACCAAAGAGATTGAAATAGCTCATACAGAAAGGTGTAAGATTTACCAAGAGAATGTCCTCATCAGTACCAAAGGACTTGCGAGCTTCTTCGAGGCACTCCAAGGAGACCCGCTCATATTTCCTACAAAAGATCCCAACACATTTATGTAACAAGAGAAACAAAATTATCCTTACATCTTGATAGAATATAATAAGAGGTCAATATAGGATGAGTGTCATATGCCATAAGATCTTAGAGAATCACATGCAACATTTCTCCTATGAAATACAAAGATTCCACTCAGATTCAATAAAACATATCTCACATCAATACTGAGGAGAATTATTTTTACTATTAAAGACAACACAAACACTTGATTTAGGGATATAGCTTTTGACAAAGCAACTTCTGGGTCAGAATTAGCCCATACATGCTCTGGATGCAACATGCAAGTAGAAGCTAGAGAGAAATGACATCAAATAAAAGTGAAGAGAAAGGGTGGTTATACTTGTGATGAATATGATCCTTCACATGGGAAGTGGGAACCTGATAAAAGTAAGAATCCAGCTCTTTGAAACAAGTATCTCCTTAAATAGTAGACTTTAAACAAATTTAGAGCAGAGAGCCTTTAATAATAAATAGAGAGCACAACAAAATACCTAAAACCTATCAGGTACTAACAATAGATCTATTAACAATAAAGCGTTACAAAGATGCCAGCCTAGAGAAGTTTAATGGAACCCCAGATTCAGGGTCCTCCCATTCCACAGAATAGAGCTCCTCTAAAATCTCCAATCCAATAACATGGAAACACACACAAAGCAGTACCTTCTCGTGACCTAGCCAAAGCAGAGGCCTCAACATCCTCAAAGTGCAAAAAAACAAAAAACAAAAAAACAAGAGCATTTTTTGGGACTTTTATAAGTCATCCCATGGAGTGGCACTAATCTCTTTAAAAATATACTAATCTCAGATACTACTTTGGCACTGAAGTATTGTGATCTCACTATTAACTAGTGAATATAACCAATAAACATACTTTGTACTAAAAAAATTATCGTTTCATGTCCGAATAGACTAAAAAGAGCAGATTATGTGGAAATTTTAATATACTATAAGAAACTATCAACACACACTTGTTGCATTACAGCATGTTAGCACATCCTGTCCTGTGTCTATTGAATTGGACAGTGAAGGAGGCTGGGACCACCCTTTTAGGAGTGTAGACAAACACTAAACCCACCATCAAGACCATAGGACATACTGTAACCATTAAAACCATAGGACATACTGTAATAATAGACTGTGCAAAAACAATTGAATCATCACCATCCATCCATGATTAAATGGTGTTGAAATTAGTCTAAAATTTTTCATATTTGAAATGTATAAGACGATAGATAATCCTTTAAGATGCGCATCTTAGTTAATCTTTGCTTTTGATCTCATGCCATTTGCGCTTCTCCAAACCTTGAAAAAAAAAAGTACAAGCAGTATCCAACTTCCAAGGAGAATTATAGAATTCTCCACAACAACAGGACGTCCCTAAGATCTGTCTCCATCTCTTTAATTGATCCATCATGCAGCCTATGAATTTTGGATACATCTCCTCAACTCGAAAGGAGAAGAGAGGAAGAGAGAGAAAGTTATTATTACTACTGTAGAAAATAAATTTAAGCAAAGTTGCCTATTGGATCGTGCTCTGAAAATTTATTTAATTCCTTTCAAACGATAGAGATGGATGGATTATGTAGGAGACGAGCCAATTTAGGAGAGAGGATAGAGGAAGGATAGAAACATATTGGAGTGCAAAGATGGAGCCATTCGATATAGGAAAGAATCGATTTAAATTATCTAAATTAGTATGAGACATATATCAGAATAGAAATGACTTCTATATTAGAGAGCAGATATGGTAAGGAAGGAACAACCCTAGATAAAGAGAAAATCATTAACATGAAGGAATAAAACCAATTTAAATTTATCCATACAGGCAATAGATATGTATTAATACAGGAATAAGATATGTACTTGTATTCATCTAAATGGCAAGTAGGAAATTCCTGACCTAAATTTAGGCCAATGTGTCTTCATTCTTACCCTAAACTCTCCCTCTCAATAGGTATACTACCTTAAACTCTCTCTCTCAATAGGTATACTACCTTAAACTATCTATCTCAATAGCTTCTCTTTCTAGCTGAATGACATGTGTCCTACCCTTAACTTTGGCTTAATATAGGTAGAATAGATGCATCTACCATAAGCCTGGAGTCTCATTTCTCTAGTTGCTCCACTGGAGAAGAAGGCCAAGGACATCCAATTTGAGTTGAAATATGAGATACTTAACACAGAGGGCTAATGTGTCCTTGGTCCTACACTATGTACGCAACTGATTGACACTAGGCACAGTTTGGTGTCTGAATATGATTCATACAGAGAATGCAAGTACATGGCACTAGCTAACATATGGCCTTACATCTTTACATTGTCTTAGAATGGTTCACAGAATTTTCACTACCTAAGATCCGCCACAAGTCATGAGCTACTCATGTCATCTTTCACCATCCTGAACATGATAATTGATGTTGATTATGATCATGTAGGTTTCCTGGCACCAGAATATCTACCACTACAATTATTGATACATGCTTTATTTCTTGGAAGTGCAAAAGTAGCGTCATTGTTTCTAAATTCAGTGTTGAGGCAGAGTATCTTCTATGCTGTCTTTTAATTACAATAGTTTAGATTCTGGCTTTTATCCAAGACATGAGCTTGCACCTTACCTCTCTAACACCCCTTGTTGATAATGAATCATATCAAATTGCCTTGCATCCCAAAGTCCACTAAGGTGGGTCGCTTTGTTTATGAAATGCTTCCAAACGAATTATCCTCGGATATCAACAGAGCAACAAAAGAAAAAGAAAATTGATTACCAAGGCCAGGACCTTGTGACCATTGCATCTAGGCAAAAAATCTGCCATATCAACATAACAGAGTGTTTGGGGTCCTAGTGCATCCAGTGCATTGCTCATTATATACAGTATATGCATTGAGAGGATGGCTGTGTAACTATATCCAGCATACAGGTCTTATGGGGATATTGCTAATTGAGCTCCATTCACCAAAATAGTATCATTGACAGAAGCCAAAAGATTTCCTTCTCCTGCAGGAGTCTACTATCCATTTACTCCCACAGGCAAAATACATGCTAGAGATACTTTTTAGCCAAATTTTGGGGATGTAATCTCTACAATCCATAGAATAATCTCAGCTAAAAAAGTTTCAGAGAAAATGTAGCTATGAGAAACATTATTCTCGTATTTCAAATTCACCGTGTTCTGTCTCAACAGTCATAAATTCATAATGTTATTATAGATAACCTGATACACAACTATTGTTCTTATTTTGGTAAGTGCAACAAGTTGCACTTATTTAGACAAACATGCTGGGGCAAGAGCAAAATTTTTTTGGAGCAAAAATATAGGAATAATTGTAGGGAGAGAGAAAAAAACAGTTACCACAAAACAGAATCCGAACATGTAAAATATTAGAGAGCATCTTTGCAATCACCATTCTGCATCCTAATATTATTAACAGAAAGGGACTACTAAAGAAGGTTTTATCTCATAAGAAGAATAGACGGTAAAATGTTACCTAGAGCTGGCTGGGTCTCTTATCTCAAATTCATTTGTATCCGCATCATAGCCACAGATCACCACAAAATGGCCTAAATGCACAGAAACTTACAACTTAGATGGTCTCCATTAGCAGAAACACAGTCCCTCTTTGCAGAATGTTTACTTAAAAAGTTATGTAAAAGGTAGCAACTTGATTTGTTATAAGCAATGTAACATGTTCCATTCACTTGAGACATTACCCCATTGCTTTGGGAATTATGTGTCTCAGTAGTTCAATAAGTTTGGCTGAGAACAACCAAAATGCAACAACAATGATAATGCATCTGAATTCCAATATATACTCCCAAATGCAAAATACTGAATCAAGTAAAAGCAATTAGTCACAATACCAAATGACAAAATTGATCACTGGCTGGGGCATGCCCAGTAATGATTTGGAAGCTATATATAAATGCATCCAAGGAAACAAAATCATTTGAACCTGTGTAGCCAGAGGTTCCACCATAAATTTCTGGGAGACAGATTTCCTCCAGCCAAGGACGACAACTGCAGTTAATAAATTGATAAGATCAGCAACAAATTTATGTAAACATTTGCCAAAATATAGAAAGGGCCGTAACCCGGTGCTGGTCCCGCCTAAGCAGGATCCCGGGAGGGGTGGGCTGGAAGCGGTCCTAACCTTTGGCTTATAGACAAAGTGGCTGCTCTCAGGACTTGAACCCGCGCTCTTGCGCTGGCTACCCAAGCCTTTTACCGTCACACCAAGTGACCTTATTTGCAGAAATATTTAATATATAATGTATGAATCAAGTAAAAGTGCACCCCAGTAAGTAGCTGCTGTGAGACCAATTTCACCAAGATAATTTGACTCTTCAGATGAAGCTTTAAGATTAGGAGATAGCGAGTTCATGATTTGGTTCTTGGTACGTCATGTTCTAAAGTTGAAGCCCTTCACTCCAGTGCCTGTTTTGCTACTATTAAATATCATTGGTACCTTCTTTAGATCTACAATGTTAAAACTGCCAACACTGAGATCTCTCTGAGATCGACCATTCAGATTTTTGGGGTCCATCTGAGTTTTGTTCTTGCTTAGGATCTGAATACTATGTTACACTCACTTACTGATGAATTTTCAAGCTATATTACATCTATTTTCACCCCAATTAGATTGGTTGAATACACCATTGTCAATATGAATGTCGGGAAAACAAAATAAGAGAAATAAGACATTGTCATGAATTGGTACTACATGGATAAAAAATAGAATGTGGCTGGAAGAATAAATCATAAATAATAAAAAAGGAGGGAAAAATAAGATAAGAATGATAAGAACAAATATTAATATTCATATCTGATTTTTTTTCATACTTGAGGAATTTCATGCAATAGCTACAACTAAATACAATCCTGAAGTCCAAATTTCAAATCCAGATTCATGGGGAGAAATATTTATTGCCATACAAGATTATCTTAATCAAATGGTATTTTCTTTCAATCTTAATGAATGCATACCCCTCAAAAAAATAGTCTACTTGACCTAAAGATAGAAATAATGTTGAAACTACTTGAAATTTGCAAGCTTCCGACGCAATAAGTACTACTATGGATCGCATTATTCTTATCGCATTGTCAACTGGCCAGCATGTTCCTCTCACTAAGCATTTGACCAGCAGTATTAACACCTGTTTTCAACTTCACGTCTTTGATTCTGTATTTTAGGTCCCATTTCCTTTCTAGGATGGGTTGGAACCTGATTATTAAGCTACAAAATTTTAGGTCCCATTTCCTTCCTAGGATAGGTTTGAATCTGATTATTAAGCTACAAAACGCACATACAAAACGCACTCCATGGGCTATTCTGATCCTTAAAAGGTCTATAGATTCTCTGATCCAACTCATACAGGTTTTTTAACTTTTTTTTGTCACTGTGTACGCAAAGGTATGTATTTAGAGTCTATTTGCATTTTTGCACTATAGGGTCTCTAATGCAATTATTGAGTTGTATATAAGCTATCTTGGCTAAATGCCTAACTTAGTGAAATCATTTTATGATCAATTTCTGCGATTGACAAAAATATCTGAAATATGCATTGTCGAACACATCACAAAGCACAGACCCTTAACAAATACAGTCCAAAACCTACACAATCCTTCACCAAGCATCAGTTTTTGTTGAGTTTGCACCCGTGTATCAAGTTAGAAGCATACTGGCGAGTGAATGTATATATGTGTATAATGAACAAAAATACTACATAAGGAGACTTGTGGTCCTTAATGTGCAACAAGAATGATAAAGAAACACACAGTCAAGCCAAAGTTCCCAAAGAGCTAACTAGGGAACTAAAACATAAAAAGAAAACTACTACAAAAGCATAAAGATTTACAGAAAAAGCACATAGTAGAACTGAAAATTAATCCAGTACTTAGTCACATAAATACTAAAAAGTCGCTCATAGTTTTCTTTTCTAGCTAATAAATAACAGAAAAAACAACTCGAACGTGCACAGAAATCATGCATGAATCAACAGAAACTCAATGAATTGATAAAGCTCAACCAAATTAAGTTTATCTTAATTGCAACAACTAGCAACCCATCTACATATTAATCTTATTAATGGAGAAAACAATAACTAAACCATGAACCATGCAAAGTACGTTTCTATTATCAAAATAAAGAGCTTGAAAAAGAAAAAGTATATTATTTCAATATATGCATCAATACACCAGCAAAACAAATACCTTAACTTGTGCTTGTCAACCAATGCAACAGCAACAAATTTCCCTGATAATATCAAGACTGAAATTTCTTCACCTCCAATGGACCTACACTATAAGTCAAAGAGAAGTATGTGAACTATACCAAATATGGCTTGCATAAATTCTATAAAAGAATAAAACATGAACTTCTCTCTCACTGTGTGTGTGCATGTGGTATACAAACTAAACCAAATGAATACTCATTAATTATTTTAATGCTTAACCCCTCTCAAATGCCAAATTTAATGATATTAGAGTATGCCAAACTTAATAAGCTTCAGCATAGGTCACATTTGGATAAATATATGACTATATACTGATAATGTTGGGAAATGCGTCAGGCAAACAATTTCCAGCTAACCATGCATTAAAGAGCATATAACTATAACCAGCAAGTACTTGGTCTTATATAAGTGTTACAACACAAGACTACACAAACAATTGTACATTTAACCTTAAATAGATCATCAATGTGGAACTTAGAGGCTTGAGTAACACAGCCTCTGACAACCTTGCGATAAATGCAGCAACAATGTGCCCACCCACACCCCAGCTTTCCCTGAAACTTCACTTCTATACAATGCAGGAAAAATCGAACCCGAACGGTTAACCTGACATGGGCCCAGAAGCGGTTCAACCAGCCTAACCGGAAAACTAGCCTGGTTCGACCGTTCTAACCGGGCAAGTCCCTGGCGATCAAACAAGTATTAAAAAATTAGAAAAAACAAAAAATCTAATAAAATATGAAAAGTATATTTAAAAAATGATTAAACAAAACATATCCAAATGCAATTGAAAATTAATGAAAAAATGGATTTTAAAGAACCGATTAGTGCACAGGTGTATTTTTGAAATTTTCCAAAAAAGATGGAAAAATGTTAAACTAAGTATTAATGGCCAAAACAATTTTCAATCTTTGTCATAATGATTAAAAATATTAAAAAATGCATTACAAACATAATCCTTTATTTTTTGGGATTTTATATACTTTTTTAAAAAAAAATTAAAAATACCCAGCCGGTTACCAAAACCGGCTGAAACTGGAACCGGCCTCCTGTTCCGATCTAATCAGGCAGTTACTGGTTAGATCACCCGATTTTTCCTTCAATGCTTCTATATGCCCTTCCAACTTCTTGGAAACCACAAATCATAACTCACATTGTATACCTATGCAGTAATACAACTGTTGAAAACCCCAGACATATCTTAGCATCCTAGATTTTGTTGCCCAGAATCAAGACTTTATAACCTCCACAACTCCACCACATGCTTCATCTACCACTAGGAAGGTCTTAATTTGCCCACCAGTAGAGGGGACTCTGCATACCCTTTTCATAGTCTCGAGCACTGAACTCACATATCAGACAAAGACCCTGTGCTCTGTGTTCTTCTTACACCTATTCCAGAATACAGCATGCCTCACTTTTAGAGTGAAACTAGAATAACAAAGCATCATAATTGGCACTTTCACACAGTCACACCCTCTTCTCCCCTCATCTTGAAGCATAGCAATCCCAGACAACACACTTATGCCAAAGAAGCCTCTAGGTTCCTCAGGTATCCAAAGCTCCAGCCTCCTAAATTCTCTCATGCTTAACTCTCTCTCCTTTCAGAACTCAATGGGCCTCTCAGCAATTCCAACCTTTCAATCAGAACTATGTCCCGCTGAATACATGGCAAGCCAACACCACAATCTCAGCATATATATCTATGAAATAAAAAAAAGAGTCTGAACGGGAACACTAATATCAAAAGTGAAAAAGCCCCAAGATTCAAGGATCCACGCTATAAAACATTACGACACCCACCTCATCAAACTCCATGCTTAATTAATCATCATTTTAAATTGACAACGATATTACAAAACATAGGTGCATAGAAGAAGGGGACAAAATATATCTAAAAGAATGATACTAATATAGAAAGATACATAAGAAAATAAACACTTTTTGAGTTGAAAATACGAGTCGTCATTGGATCATCAATCTGGCAAAGAGATGTCGATGTTCTTTTTGTATTATCAGCTGCAAAGAGATATATCTTGTGAAGCCATCACAACAGAAAGTGAAAATTTACAGTCAGTCTATAGAATCACGTTTTTAATCTTAAATCAAACTTCAAAGTTCTCATGCAACTTCTTATAAATCTCATGAAAATCTACTATTGTAGTTCATTAGATGGATCCAAACAGCTTCTAGTTAGTAAAATATTCGAAATTGCTATTATTGCTCAACATCAGCTTTTCATTCTGCAATATCCATGGTACACAGGAAAAATTACTTGTATGTTAATGCCATTCTCTAGTGCAACCTGGAATTGTCCATTCACACGTCTTATGTCATCTGGTAAGTTATCCTGCATGTGTTCAAAGACCAGTGTGAGTAGATTATATAAATATATAACATTTTATGGTAACTACACACTGGAAAGGCAATGCACCAACCAAATAAACACTCTTTTGTAAAAGTAATACAGAAACATGTTAAAAACAGTATGAGTAATGCATGTGCATATGGACTCGTCTCATAAATCATTAAGAAACAACGAAAGACAAGATCAGAAACATATCAAACAAATCACAATAGAGAACCATGTAGTGAGCAAAGCAGAATCTTTTTATAGTTCTCGTTTATTGAGAAAATAAAATTGTGAGAAAAATAATTATAAGTCCAGAAGATAGTAGAGAACTATTGAAATGAGATGAGCATTAGAATTATCCAATTGCTAGGTGAAACAATAGAAGTTCAGGTAATTAATTTTGACCCAAACGTCTTTTTATGAGAAATTTTAACCCAAGAAATCCCATAAGGTCCTCAACAGGGATAGTCCTACTGGTGTCAAAGTCTATAGCTATTAGAGCTAGAAAGCTTACAAGTAATAAACCCCCTTAACATATGGGGGCATGGGCAACTAGGGCTACCAACACACTGTTGGAATAACTAGGCGATCTAACCGCTAACCGCTCGGTTAGATCGGAACCGGTCAATGGCCGGTTCCAATTTTGAGCGGTTTTGGTGATCGACCGGAATTTAAAAAACAAATTTTCAAAAAATTATATAAATTCCCAAAAACAAGGAATTTGGTTTGTAATGCATTTTTTAATATTCTTTACATTATGGTAAAGATTAAAAATTGTTTTGGCCATTAATACTCACTATAATTCAAAAATCGATTCGTTAAAATCCATTTTTTTCATTAATTTTCAACTTCATTTGAATTTGTTTTGTTTTAATCATTCTTTATATGCTTTTCATATTTTAGTAAAAAAAAATAGTATCTTTTTTATTTTTTCAACACTTATTTGACCGCCTAGGACTTGCCCTATTAGAACAATCGAATCGGCCGATTGACTGGTTAGGCCGGTTAAACCGCTTCCTGGCCCATGTCCGATTAACAGCTCTGGTTCGATTTTGCAAACACTGCTCCAACTAGATTGAACCAAACAGCTAAAAAAACTAGGCCTTTTGGATTTCCTTCAGCCAAAGAGAGCTCACTAGATCACGCAAACATGCACGCACGCACACACACATGCATGCACAATCACACGCTTGCATTTGTGTGCGCACACACACACGCATGGACACATATAACCTATATAACCCATTTAGGACAGCTACATGGCACCCAAAGTTTATATGCAATCCTAAAATTCATGTGGCATTTGTTGGTTCTCTGGCATTTATAGTCTCTAGAAAAATGAAGCTAAATACCACCATCACAAATATAAATATGCAAGAACTAAGTTGCAGTAATATTTCAGAAAGACGGGACATGAAAAATATGATGACCTTGTTAGGCAAATAATTTTGAACCGACCACTTTAACCTAAAAGGAATATGGAGTATGGACAACAAATGCCGCATACTGCATGAATAAAAGATGCCACATCTACTTGAATTCAGGAATGGAAAAATGTAATCCCAGGTGAACAGTATTCCCTTATTCAAAATCTCAAAAGAAACAATGCAAATTTCATCTTCATGGGATGAATAAATTCGCACCTGATAGAAGGACTCCACTGCATAATTTGGATTAGCTCCAAGAGTAACCGTGAGGAAGAAAAATTTAACAGAAAACTTATGCAATAAGTGTGCCAGATCAACAGTCCAAACACTGCAAAGCAAAAATTACACTCATTAATAACTTCTCAAAAAATTATATATATACACACACACATTGATGAAATACATCAATATTTAATCAAATGATGGTACCCAAATGGCATCAAGACTCAAAAGGAAATAAGAGTGCATATGCATAAATAAACAACAATCCATATTCCCCAGGGATTAAGAAAAGCAAAGGAATATGGTAAGAGCTAAAAGAAAAATTCCCGTTAACCCAAAAAAAAATACATTAGGGAATAGGCACAACTGGCCAATAGCATGGGTGCAGTCTCTAACTACTTGTCCAAAAAACCCGTAGTTCCAAGATTTCCCAACTTGGTGGCAATCCTGATGATCCCAAACTCCTGGAGCAGGACCTTGGGTGGATCTTGCTCCCATATTAGGGAAACATGATCTCAATCCCTTAGGTGCCTCTTGGATTCCTAGAAAAACATTGTCTAAAAAAATATATTTCCTGCAAAATACATTTCGCAAAAAAGAATTCCTATAAAATAATTTTTTGTGTTTGAATAGCATCTGGATGTGCCCACCCAGGAATTCCCTAAACTTCAATATATTGGAACCTCAAATTGATTATTATTAAGCGAAATTGCATCTAAATTAGTGGTGAAAGATCATCAAGCAAAAACCCAATGACCTTATTGAGTCTAAGGTCAAGGTATATGAGACTAGGGGTGGGAAATGGGTCAGGTCGACCCCACCAGGTCTGAATCTCGACCCAGACAATGGACCTGAAGGGTCCAGGTGTTGTTCCACTTGACCTTGGCCCGATCCGGGTCTGGGTTAGGTTCAGGATTGGAGCCTATCAGTTCAGGTCCAGATTGGGGCGTGGTCAACCTGACCTGACCATGTATATAAAAGACACGTACAAATAATATTTAATTATACAGTATAAAATATATAAAATAAATTTCTATATATCTTTTTATTTCTAGACCCGACCCGATCCGACAAGTTGGGTCACGGTCTAAGTAGGACCTTGTCAGGTTGGGCTCAACCAACCCATTTACAGCCTACGAGAGAGAGAGAGAGAGTTTTGGGTAAGTAGGTTTCCGCACCATGATGGAAAACGAGTATGGAAAAATATTCTTTTGGGTGAAGGCATGGAAATAGATTTCTCTATTTGAGGCTCAAATAGAGAATACTATTTCTATAGAAAAAAATTTAGTCCTATGTTCCAAGTATTGAAAATAGACAATTTCCCTAAAAAACATTTTCTGGTAATCATTTTCCAAGGATACAAACGGCCCCTTAGGGATCAGTGGATATAAATCATATTCATGTTATATTGATCTCTTATAAGGAAAACAAGTGTAAATGCATGTCCATCAAAAAAAGAAATAATTATATTGCAAAATCATGTTATATATATTTTCAAATAGAAGAGATGCTTTGACCATATGATCTTGGACCTGTAGAATTTATCATACAATCCAAACAACTTGGGATCAAGATCCCTAAATTCAGGGTGTATGAACATTGATCCCGACTGTAGGGAGCTTCTAACCTATCATGGTCACTTGCTTCCATGCCCGATCTCAATATCTTTGGATTAGACAATCCATAAACTGTTTCACCTCCATAGGCTCGTGACTCATGAGAAGAATAACAAATTACCGACACCCAATATTTTTCTTTGGCCTCCACAGGCTCGACACATGAAAAAAACACGTAACCAATGTTCAAGAAGGTGGATTTGGCCACCTAGGCGGGTACCCAAATACTTGGGCGGCCTGTAAAAACAGGAGAGGGGAAGTAAGAGGAGCAGGGGTGGAGGTCTGGGGTCTCTAGGCCCTTGAAGGATGATATTTTGTGGGGTTCTATTGATTGCTAAACCCCCATGATTCTGTGCATAGAACATCGATCTTTTTTCCAAAGAGTAATGCTTTATAGTTCTTTGTGTGTATTATTTTATTGTGCAGTTAAACATACATGGCTTTGAATTGTGAAATTGGATGACCAAAAGTCTCAAAATATTAAATGAATGAAAAATTGCCCAAGAGTTATGTCAATTTCCCATTACAACTCACATAAATGAAAAGATGAAAAACAATCCATATAGACAATAACCAAATTGAAAGAACAACAAATCAATACCTAACATTCATAAATATCACAAAACCCAAACCAAGAAATGAAATACAGCACCCTCTCAAAACACAATCGAACTTGGTTTGAACCAGTGACCTTTGGCTGCCGAAAGACCTCTTTTGCAACCATTTCAAGTTTCAAAAAGTACTTGACTGGATACTATTCAATTTTGCAAGAAAGTGGTCTGAATTTTTCCCGTCAAGAAAGCCACAAGTTCTTGTTTTTTGGGGTGTTTTCAAGCTCCAAATCAACACAAATAAGATTTCGGCAGCTAAAATCCCCCCCTCTTTTTTTAGGGGAAAAATGACAATTTTTAGCCTTGGTCGAGGACCTTTTTTCTGCCCTTGACCAAGTTGTATCCTCAGGCCCCCCATGTGACGCAATGGCACCTAGGTGAGCACCCAGACACATAACCGAATAGGGCCCCGCCTAGGCCCTATTTAGTGCGGTTGGACCCCAGGATCACCTAGGCAGCCACGCGGCCGAATTTTTCATCATTGTACATTACAAACATCTATCATATTTACAACCAAGACCAGTGTTTAAAAAATCGTCAGTTCAGATCGGAATCCCCCAGTCGGACCCAAGAATCATCGAGGACTGTCACAGTTCCCTGACAGTATTGGGAACCGAGCAGTTCTCACTAAAACTGACTGATTTTGTCAGGAACCTAAGGATCTGACTGAATCGCCTGCTGCCTACTTTTTTATTTTTTTATAATTTTTTTTTAGATTCCAAAATCCATCTCTAAAAAAGATTTTGGAGAGAATCCTCATTTAAACAAGTGAATCGGCCGACTCATAGAAACCTTGTCCTTAATAAAATGTGTCATTCAACATCCAGAAATAGAGTATCCAGGTAAAAACAAAGATACTGCTCACTGACTTCTACGTAAATCAATCATAATCTCATATAGAAGGATGACTTACCTTCTTGTGATCTATTTCTTATTAAAGACCCAATTTTAGAAACAAGATAAAAATAACTCATATTGACGTCTTTTGCTAAAAACTTTGCTTGCTGGATGCTAGGTCCCATAATCATTGTGAATGATGCCAGCGACATCGAATATCCTAGGTGAAATGTCACCCTCTGGGTCTTTTTGTTTCAGCATTCCAACTCAAGTGGTTGAAGAAATGAGGACAAGATACGCATATCAGGCAGCATGTCAATATAATGGAAGCCTAAAATTTCTCATAGTAAGCCATTTTATCTTCAGGGATTGAAAATGAAGGTTTCACAATAGCTAGCGGTCAAAAAAAATTTAGTTTGTCTGGAGTTGGTCAAATAGCCAGACAAGGAAGGCGCACCTTTCTATAAATTTGTAATAGAAAATTCTGCTGATGATATGGAATCAGCTTGTTTCTCTGTTGGGGTTTTAATCCATATTCATCATGGCATGAGGAAAATTCATCCAGAAAGCATTTATCAGTTTAATTTTGACTTTCCACATCTCAATAATAAAGCCATCTTCTGGTTTTCACTAACAGTGAGGAATTTATGGAAAAATAAAAAATAAAAGCACATTAGTATGTAGCTGAGAATTATTGATGCCATCATGCCAAAATAAGGAAGAGATATTCCAGCAACCAGATCGGCAGATCCAAACGATAATGATAATCCAAACAGAGGAATTTGATAGAAGTGTTTTTGGGGTAAGTGGAACTAGTTATAAATAGCAAAACAAGCTCTGCAACAGTCAGAAAAACATAGAGAAACAAGTAATTGGGGAAGGTGTATTATAATCTAATTGGTTATGGAAAACTGTAGTCTATACTTATTGGATAATCACTGTCTACTGAAGTGCTGGATGATGAGGGAGAAAGAACCGTCCTTGTGACCATATATTGTTCTGTTGGATATTATTTTCTCTCCATCGTTGTCCATCACTTCACAGATGACCTAATTGACTATGATGACCCAGGAGTATAGGATACTTTCCCAGAATAATACTTGAGGCAATTGATAAGCAACAAAATCACTGTTTACCAGGAGTAATTTTGTTTGTAATGATTAAGGAAACATTATGAAGCACAATATATCAATTTACACTGGAAGCATCATATCATTTAGCGCAAATGGATTTTTCACTTGCTAGTTTGAAATCATCCCCAGTTGTATAACTCCAAGATGTATTGTCATGAGTAGTAAAATGCCCTGAGCAGATTCCAAACTAAATATATCTGAAAAGATCATTTGATGCCAAAATTCATAATAATTGACAGCATATTATTCTAAAGAAACCAAGAAAAATAACCTTGTTGTGCAACATAACTTTTCCAAACAAGGGATGTCACCACAGTCAATGCCAAGAGTTTTCAATACCATCAAGACACAAGCAAGCCCACAATCCCAAGTAGAAAGTTGCTGTATATGTGGCACCTGAAAGGATTGGCAAGCCTTAATAACAAACAATATGCAACTGGTGGAATGAAACAGGCATTCCACAGGCTAAGTACAGTAAAAATAAGATGAATATCCAAGGAAATGAAAAGTTACTTGTACAACTCACTTCAACAAAGTGTGAGCGAGGCAAGTTGGTTTTGCAGCTTATTGATGAAAAAAAGGGGACTTCAACCAGGTAAGAAAAGTCCCATCCATCAGTCTCCATCCTGAAAGGCATGTCTGTCTTATCTAGTAGTTTTGCAATAGGTGAAGGGCCTATATGTCATACATCCATTACCCAGGACATGTGCTGTAAGCCAAAAATCTCCATCCATTTATTTTAGCAAAAATGCATCGCCTCCATATAGGATTCTTATTCTGTGTCTTCCAAAAGTAATATCTCCCATAATCAATCAAATTTTATGATAATTACTGATACAAGTCAACTGCACAATAACAAAAAGGAATCACATGGTTTGGTTGCATTCAAATTCACGCAGATGGACTTTATAAAAGTTCAATGAGCATAAAAGCCAAATAGAAGATAATAGGATGGAAATATGCATATCAACGAAAATAAGTATGCTTGAGTCAATTGATCAACTAGGAATACGTACACAGCAATGAATCAGAAGCGCATACAGTGTTCCTTCTTGATAAGCAACAATGAAATAGAAAGTAAACAAAGAAGTACTGTATAGGATATGTGAATCAGGTATTCTCTATGACATGCCAAGTTTTGATTTGCCCGCAGGCTCTTAGCCTAGGAAACGTCCAGCACAACTGTTGCTAGAGAAAGAAGACGGACAATTGAATTCAATAATCTATTAGAACAGATAAACCCCATCAAATGGAGGAAAAGGAACACTGCACTAAAAGAAAGATTCAAGAAGTATCCAAAAAGACTTCAAGGAATGAGTATGTGCTATATTTCTTGACATTAACAAATGCTAACCTACAGCAGGCTATGTAAAAATAAAGTTACCATAATAAAATACCCTAGACACAAGTATAGCCTCTGGTATGAGTCTATACATATAGAGAATGAAATTCAAAATATGCGGTTATGCCCTATTACAAAATGCTTTGCTACTCAGAACATGGCTTAGCATGGCAAATTCCCATTATGAGAATCATGGCAATTACACCTTCCATTTTCTTAACTGTATCCCACCCAAAAACAATTGTATTGCGATAACAACACTCAATACCCACTTAGGGGCTCAATATGAGCACCAAAATCAATTGCTCGAGCATGTCCTATATAAAAGTATGGCCCAAATAACATAAGGAAATATGGAAAACATGTCCAATTAAAAGATTTCAACCATAATGATATCAATGAGACTCTAATCCACAAATAGGCTAAATTGTCCAAGTACCATTAACAAAGTTCAAACTTCAAGCACACACTTCATCATCACTAGAGCAATGTTTCTCCTCAAGGAATCATTGAAGTGGGGATTAAAAACAATGCCAAATATCCTGAAAACTTCACATTATAATGCAATAACAATGTTGGCGATGAGGCCATATGTCCTATTCTATAGGAGTTCCTAAGTTTAAGATAAGTCATGTGACCTTATTGTGTTCCTATTATCTAACAAACTACATCCTATTTTTATGGGGTGTGCAGCTTTTTTGGTTTGGAGAAGATCTTTCACTTTGTTTTTTTGAAAGTTGCAAAAAGAAAGGGATAGCTATTTGTCCTTGGGTGGGTGTTCTAGAGAGAGAAAGACCATATTTTAGGGCTTGAGAGAGAGCTTGAAAATCCTTTGTATTCTCCATGCTTACATGGTGTTTTTTTGATTAGTGGAAGAAAGCTTTGTTGACCTGTGGACGTGGGCAATTTGCCAAACTACGTAAATCTTCGTGTCTCTCTTCTTTTAATTTTCTGCACTATTTTTCTTTCCTTTTATTTTTCCCAAACTTTGGTTTTTATCCTCTACAATTGATATCAAAGCCTTAGGGTTTAAGATCCTTGCTGGGTGCAAGGTTTGTACAGATCACAAATCTTTGAAGATGGTTGGAGGAAGTTCAACCATATATGAAATTCCAAAATTTGATGGTTCAGAATTCTCAACCTTGAAATTAAAGATGCATGCAATGTAGGTGTAAGATGGTTGTTTAGTGACTTTAAAAGGCAGAGAAAATAAACCTGCAAAGATGGATGATGAGGAATTTGATAAGAAAGATGAATTGGCTAGGGCATATATATCTTTTTGGTACTTGATGAGTCCATTTTATTCAATGAATCCTACTACCGTTAAAGATTTACGGGACAGGCTTAAAAATACTTATGAAGGTAAGTCTCTTCCTAATAATTTTTTTCTTTGCCAGCACCTTGGATACTGCATCTTTGCAAGGGTACTTAAATGAGTTTAATGCCTTGATTAGCAAGTTGATGTCACTAGATATAAAAATTGATAAAGAAGATAAAGCAGCTACATTACTTTGTTCTATGTCGATATCATGGGATGAACTGATTATGAATCTCAATAGTGTGAAATCTCTTGAATTTGCTTTCGTTGTTTCAACACTTCAGACAGAGGGATCTTGGCGAAAGTCTAGTCAGGATTCCTCTAGGAATGTGTTCGTAGCATGGAGTAGATCAATGGAGAGAACTACAGGAAGAGATCAATCAAGATCCAAATCAAGGGGGCATAAGAAAGTAAAGTGCTGGAGCTATGGAAAATTAGGCCATGTGAAGAAAGATTGTAAGGCACAAAAAGCGAATCAAGAAACCTCTAAATCTGGTTCTCATGAGAAACCTAGTTCAAGTCAATATCGAGAAAATCTAGTAGAAGCAATTGAGTTTTTTGAAGATGGAGAAGTTTTGTTTGTGGATAGGGAAGAAGTTTTGCAGTATTGGCTATTTGATTCAGGTGTATCCTTTCACATGACTCCACATAAGGATTGGTTTTATAGGTACCAACCATGTAATGGAAGTATTGTTTACATGGGAAATAATGACTCGTGTAAAATAGTGGGGGTTGAAAATGTGAAAATAAAGATGTTGCATGAAGTAACATGCATAATCCCGGGTGTCAGACATGATCCATGTCTCAGAAGGAGTCTCTTATCTTTGGAAAATTTTGATGAGCAAGGTTTCAAGTTTACATGTGAAAATAGATGTCCAAAAATTTCAAAGGGAGCACTAGTGGTTGCCAAAGGTGAGTTAGCAGGCAATTTGTATGGACTTGTTGGAGAAACAGTTTTGGGATAGGTCGATACTGCAGAAGTGGACTCCGTCATGACATGGCATACGCGTTTGGGTCACATGAGCAAGGGTGGACTCAAGGTAATCCTCGATAAAAACCTCATCCCTGGTTTAAAATCTTTAATTTAGCTTTTTGTAAGTGATGCTTATTTGGAAAGCATAGCAAATTGCACTTTGCTTTATCCACCACTAAAAGTAAAGATTTTTTGAAATTGATTCATTCGGACAGATGAGAATCACCTATTATTTCTATGGCGGTGCTGCATATTGTCACTTTTATTGATGATTTTTCAAGAGAAGTGAGGGTTTCTTTATATGCTGAAAAAGAAATTAGTTGTTTTCAGTTGTTTAAAAAAGTTTAAGGCCTTGGTAGAAAATCAGAAAGGCAAGAGCATCAAGTGTCTAAGAACTAATAATAGGAGAGAATTTTGTTTTGATTAATTTAGTAACTTTTGTAGTGAACATGGTATTGCTAGGCAGTTGGCATTTTTTTTTTTGAGAATAGACAATTCCTAAAACACCTCAACAAATGGAGTTGTTGAGAGGATGAATCATATCATTTGAGCAGTGATTTTGGGCAGAACCATTTTTTAAAGCTTGTTTCCTAATTAATAGGTCTCCCAATTCAGCTATTGACTACAAGACACCAAAAGATATTTGGACAGGTAAGCATGTTGATTATTCTTTCTTTCGTGTTTTTGGCTGTGATGCATATTGTCTTATTCCAAAGGAGAAAAGAACTAAGACACATAATTCAAAAATGTATTTTTTTGGCTATGTTGATGGTACAAAGGGGTACAGATTGTGGAATTCTACTGACCACAAGATTTTAGTTAGCCGAGATGTTATTCTCCATAAAAATTCAATGCAAAAAAAGAAAGATTAACTAGATGTAAAATCGGTTGAGGTGGAATGCACCCATGAGAACTAGCGAGATAGTAGTCAGAACCAAGCTTGAAAAATATTTAGGTGGTGTTGAACTAAGAAGATCTAATAAACCTAAAAAGGCTCATGTGAGGTTTAACGATTATGGCTTGTCTTATGATTGCCTAACAGAAGAGGGTGAGCTTGTTTCTTTCTTAAGGCAAGTGAGGTCGATGAAGCCGGTCAATGGAAAGCATCCATAGAAGAAGAGATGAAAGCCCTATGGAAAAATAAAACATGAGACGTAGTCGAATTGCTAGAAGGGCGACAGGCAATTGGTTGCAGATGAGTGTTCAAGAAGAAGAAAGTTCCTGATGATGATATTAAACGGTACAGAGCTCGATTGATTGTGAAAGGTTATGCTCATAAATTAGGTATTGATTTTAATGATATTTTTTCTCTTGTTGTGCGTATGTCCACTATTATAGTTGTTTTGGCTATGACTGATGTTCTAGATTTAGAGTTGGAACAATTAGATGTGAAAACTGCATTTTTGCATGGTGATTTAAAAGAATAAATTTATATGACCTAACCTGAGGGTTTTATTGAGGAAAGTAAAGAGAATTTGGTTTATAAGCTCAAAAAATTGTTGTATTGGTTGAAACAAGTGCTGAGGTGTTCGTACAAACGATTTGACTCTTTCATGTTAAGCTTGAATTTTCATAGATGTTAAGCAAACCATGGTGCTTATTTTTGTGGTTATGGTGATGGAAGCTTTATTATCTTGTTATTGTATGTCGGTGACATGAATGTTGTATGACTAAATAAAAAGAATATTGCAACACTTAAAGCTCAGAGCCATTAATAGAATTCTTGGATGAGCGTACTTAGAGATAGGAAGAACATGAAAATATGATTAAGTCATAAGAGTTATATAGAGAGGGTTCTGCAACGCTTCAATATGCAAAATGTTAAACTAGTTAGTACCCCATTTCCTGTACATATAGAGTTGTCTTCGAAACAATGCCCTAGCACCAAAGCAAAGGAGACACAGATGTCTCGAGTACCATATTCATCGGCAAAAAGGAGCCTCATGTTTGCTATAATCAACACCATACATGACATAGCATAAGCAGTGGGCGTTGTGAGCGGACATATGACAAATCTTAGCCATGATTACTGGACTGTTGTGAAGTGGATCCTTCGCTATTTGAAGGAAACTTATAGTGTTGGTATTTGTTACAATGAGATAAATTTGAAAGCCACCAGTTATATTGATGCAAATTTTGCAGGTGACTTGGATAAAAGAAGGCCTATACTGTGTATGTTTTTCTTTGGGATGTGGTGCAATTAGTTGGTTATCAAGTTTGCAGTGTATGGTGGCTTTGTCTTTGTACAAAGGTTGAGTATATGCCACTTACTCATAAATCTAAAGAAGCAATTTAGCTAAATAGGTTATTTAGTGAGCTCCAAGTTGTGCAAGAGGGGATACTGCTTTATTGTGATAACTAGAGTGCTTTGTTTTTAGCAAGGAATCCAGCCTTCCAAGACAAGACTAAAAATACTGATGTTAAGTATTACTTTGTTCATGACGTGGTAGAAGATAGAAGAATTTTATTGCAATAAATTCATACTGATGACAATCCGGCGGATATGTTAACTAAGCCCATTGGGAAGGGAAAGTTCACTTGGTGCAAGACTTCCTTGGGGCATGTGGTTACTTGATGATTAATAATTGGTGGGCAACAATCTTGGCCAACTTCCTATTCTATAAGAGTTCCTAAGTTTAAGGGAAGTTATATGACCTTTCTTGTGTTCCTATTATATAGGAAACTACACCCTATTTTTAAGGGGTGTGAAGCTTTTTTGTTTTGGAGAAGATCACGTTAAATCCTATGGGAAGATATAGAATTGCCTCAAGTGGATATGTCTTCGGTTTCTCTTTATAAAAAGTTTAGTGCTTGGGTGGGTGTTCTGGACAGAAAAATACCATGCTTTAGGGCTTGAGAGAGAGCTTCAAAAACCTCTGTATTCCCCAAACTTGCATAGTGTTTTTCAAATTAGTGGAAGAGAACTTTGCTGCCCTGTGGACGTATGCAATTTGTTGGACTACATAAATCTATGTGTAAATTTTCTTTTAATTCTCTGCACTATTTTTCTTTCCCTTTATTTTTCCCAAACTTTGGCTTTTATACTCTACAAACAATGGTTCAAGAACACAAGTAAAACCCTTCAGAGTTGCTCTAGATAAATCAGTTAGAACACCAAACTTTTATCTAGTTAACAACATGAATCCCGTAGACAAAACAACCTAAAACCTAATTTCTCCCCCGAAACTGAACTAAGGCAAACTAAAAATGTCCAATAATAGATAAAAGATAAAACAGATGAAACACATTCAACACGAATGCCATCTCTGCATCATTCAGGTTCAAGAGATTCACAGAATGAAGTTTAACAACATAAATGATTCCAAATACTTCACAATCTCATTATTATGATTTATGTAATATCCCTCAGCCTTTCTCGAGACCAAATAAAGAAAAAAAAAAAAGGATTGAAATTAGATTGGAACAATCCTTCACACATATAACAGATTAGGGCAAGAGTACCATAAACCACAATCTCAAAGCAAATAAAGAAACTGACAGAGCAAAAAAAAAATTCATTGAGATTAATAGGAGAAAAAAAAAAAAAGCCTCACCTGATCAGCGACTTCTCAATATTTGCTTATTATTGGCAATGAATAGAGAGGACAAACTATTCGTTTAATTAAATTTAGCCCCTTCGCCTAATGAACACTTATCCTATTTCTTACAAGGCTCGTATTAACACAATACATCTCAATTTACACTTCAAAATCTTGAGATTTCTCTGATCAATTATACTTTAGCGCGTACTGTAAATTGAGAGAGAGAAAATTTTCATATATATTTCAAATTTAGAGAGTGTGTACCTTCAAGGATCTGGAGAACTTCAGAGCACCAAATATCTGGATAATCAAAAAGCTTAAAGTTAAAAGGTTAGTTGCTTTATAAACCTGCAATCTTATTTGGTGGGAAGAGTTAACCGCCTTTTTTTTAATTATGAGGCTTCAAGTCCAAAATTGTAGTTAATGAGGGAATGTCAGTTGGCTTTGGTATAAAAATATACGGGAAAATTGCATTAAAAACCCCAAAAATCAATTTACGCCACTTAATTTTTCCAGCAACTTCCCCCCAAAACTATTTTTGCTAACAAATAACGCCCAATACTTCTTGACGAAAATATCCTCATTTATCTAACAATTCATTTTTCCCCTATCCAACCACTCATTTTCGCTGCACAAGGCGGTCAGGCCATTATGTGCTGGAATGGGTGGTCCGGTATTTCATATGACGGTACGGGAATTACGCTATTGAAAAAATCGGTAGTTCGGCCTTTTGAAAAATCGGGTCGCTGTTTTGAAATAGCGGTTCTCCATTTTGAAGGGCAGTCCGATGTTTTGAAGTGGCGATATGGCATTTTGAATGGGCACAGTTCAGCCTTTTCAAATGAGCTGTTCGGCATGGTACAAGTGCACTCCGCCGTTTACTTATATTACAATTCAAAAATGATTTGTTTTGTACGGATGGGGTATTTTCGTTAAAACAATAAACTTTTTGTATACGGGGTATTTGCTAGGTAACATAATTTTTAGGAGAAAAGTTGCTTAAAAAAAAAATTAAATTAAATGGATAAATTGATTAGAAAGTTTATTTTGAAAGATTTTATACAATTTTCCCAAAATATAAACCCAACTCCCGGTCGCATAAGCCTACGCCTGCAATAGCAATATGTACAGTTACTCCCTCGGGCAAAAATGGGTAGATCTCTCACGCATGAATTTCCATATAGAAGTCACCTAGTATTTCAAAAAAAGCTGAATTTTAAATTTGGGATTGTAAATAATTAGATCATTTACCTTTAGTATAAGGAGGTCACGATTATTTATGACCATCTGATGTGATATCTAATAGTGTGTCACAAAGTTCGAAAATAATTCTCTCGAATTTAAAACTTGATCAATGAAATAAATGCAGCCACTCAATTTCACAACCTAGATCAAGATTAATTGTGACCACCATGTACCAAAAACAAATAATCTCATTATATACTTTCCTTTTAAGTTTTTTATATGATATAAGTATCCATAAATTGGAAGGTCCAATTCAAGCTTCAAAATTAGATTGTTATTTCTATAAACATATCGACATGGTTTTAAAATTTGAAACATTTGGATAGGAATTTTCCAATTTGGATAAGGAACTAGTGATGATGAAACCAACTCCAAGTCATAAATGGAACTAGTCGACCGGTCGTTTCTGCCAGGTTTTTTTTTTTCTTTTTTTTTATTGATCAATTATTGCCATAGAGAATCAGTAGGATCCCAATCCAAATCGGTGTTTTACTGATCCATACTAAATTCTTGGATTGTCGGTCCACCCAACCGATTTAGATTTTCCAACGTCATAACACTCTCTTCTAGAGGACTCGTGTGATGCACCATACTTTAGTATGAGATTGATACCTTATGTAAACTCTTTCCTGTACAGTCAGGGAAAGTATATAATGAGATCATTTACCTCTGGTACAAGATGGTCATAATTAATCTTGACCATTGGATGTGAAATTGGGTGGTTGCATTCATTTCATAATGAATATCCATGCAAAACGCCCTTCATTTAAAAATATGTTTTTAAGATGTTAGAATCATTATGTTTTGGACCCGATTTTTATGCGACCAAGCTGCATATGTAAAAATGCAATCCTCTTAATATATATATATTTTTAGATGGATTTTAAGACTTAATTTTTAAGGACATGTAATATCTAATATGGAGATCATGAATATGAAAAAATAAATAATCTTAAGAACTACAAATAATCATTATAGTAAGAAAACATTTGGACTGTTTGTTTCCATTGTTTTTAGATGGAACACGTACTTACATCCATCTTTAAGATGGATGCTTTACTCTTTTTTGATCGCATATGTAGAAATACCATCTAGCTCGCACGAAATAATTTTCCTTTTGTTTTTTATAAAAAAACAAATTATTCATGTGTTGAATCACTCTTGCTTTTTTAGAAAACATATGATGAGACCCTTTACTTTTGATACAAGGTGATCACATTAATATTGACCATTGGATATGAAATTGGGTGGCTACAATTAGTCCATTGACTAAGCTTAGACTTCAAAATATATTTTTTTAAAATTTGTGACACATCAAAGCTATCAAATTCCACATCAAATGGTTGTAAGTAATTATGACCACTTTGCATCAAAGGTCGATGGTCTCATTGTATACAATCTCTTACAAAAAATATCATATTCAATCCATTGAAAAAAGTGCAGTAGCTCCCATAGGAACATACTATAAAACCATTTACTATTGGTACAAGAAAGTCAATATCACTATTAGCCATTGGATGAAAAAATCTGACGTTTTAAATGTGGCAGAACATTTGAAATTTTTTATTTTGGACATCGTGAGAGAGAGCTTGCTGGTCATTATATTAAAAAATTTGCATCAGCAGTACATTAAATAATAGATATTTCTATCTTCTAGAAGAAATCATGCATCTCTTAAAGAAAGCAAGAACATCATTATTCAATAGAGTATTGTCGTATGATAATACCAAGCAAAATAAGAGAATTGCCTGTCCCTGTTTTTTTATGCGGATTTAATCAAACCCCTTTCCATACTTTTGACAATATCAAAAAGAAAAAATGGAAATATGCCACCAACGCCCTTTTATTAAGAAAGTAATGTGCCTCTCGTGGAGATGGAATGACCAGCAAGCTTTTTCTCATAATGAGAATAGAAAAGAAAAAACTAAATGAGGGATTTATAGGGTGAGGATTTAGTGAAAAAGGAAAAAAATTTGATATAAGCTAAAAAAAGAAAAGAAAAAAAAAATGAAAAAAGGTTTTAAAAGGAGGCAAGGTACTTTCCCTACTGCATAAGTCTTATATGCTTCCCCTATTCAACCTTTAATTTTGAATGAACAGTTAAGATAGTTTTAATCACAATGTCATGCCTGAACATTATTTTATTTTTGGTTATTTTTTACAAACTATTTTGGAACCAAAAGTTGAGCATCTACCCCTCTCTTAAAGTAGAAAATAAATATTATATATAAAATAAAATAACCCAATACCCTTGAAAGTTTAAAGGAAGGTAGTTTGGTCATTATATTTTATCGAAGATTTATTTTTAATAATTTTTTAGGTGTGCCGTATTAAGATAATAGCACCTACCAAATTTCATATTCATATAATTTGTAGAAAAATAAAAAATAAAATATTATGAGGTATCTTATCTAGATCAAACAGTGCATGATCTAAATTTGATGGCTGGCTAGGAAAAACATACATTAGAAATAGCACATAAACCTTTCCCTTTCCAAGAACCAGCAACAATCTTAAAACTATTAAAAAATAAAAATACAAATAAAAATTAAATCCCTGGCGTGGACCCAGATTCAAGGCCATGTTTTCTCCCAGGACATGTTTTCTCACCACCTCTGTATCTCACAGCAGGTTTTCTTTCCCCATACATTGTTTATTCTCCTGTATATAACGTGTCATGCGTAACAACAATATGCGAGGACGCAATTATTTAACGTTATAAGTATATAACATGTCATGCCTAATAATAAGTATATAACATGTCATGCCTAATAATAATAGGGCAAGATATACAAGGACGCGGTTTGACGAATCCGCTGCTTTAATGTATCTCCCCACGCAAACCCAGGTTAAAGACTTGTATCCTATTTATCTCTCTTCACTATACGAACCCTCTTTCTCTCTCTAGATTTCATACCATTGTTGCAGAAAATCACAGTCGAAAATGCCTGGAGACAGGAAGATAGGAGTCGCCCTAGACTATTCCGCAAGCAGCAAATACGCTTTAAAATGGGCTATTGAAAACCTCTTGGACAAAGGGGATACCCTCTTTGTGATCCATGTCAAGTCCCACAGAGGCGACGAGGAGAAAAACCAGTTGTGGGCTAAATCTGGGTCTCGTAAGTGTTTATCTCTCATGGGTTTTTTTCGATCTTCAACAGTTGATGGAAAATTTTGGGTTTCTCTGTTTTGGGGTTTGGGGTTTTGATTGAAGTTTGAATGAATATGGGGAGTTTGATTAATTGTTTTGATCTTGTTTTGGTGATCAGCTCTGATACCTTTATCGGAGTTCAGGGATCCGGATATGCTGAAGAAGCATTACGATGTCCAGTCGGATATGGAGGTTCTGGATTTGCTTGATACCACATCCAGGCAAAAGGAGGTGTTTCTATGTCTTTCTCTATCTCTCTTTCTGGAATTATTCCTTTCTTTTTTTTGGGTTTTGATTATATGATAATTGTTTTTTGTGTGTGGGTATCTCTCTGTGGAATTTCTTATGATTTTTGTATGATTGGAATCTCTCTCTTGAGTTTTTGGAGCTCTTTCTCTGCAATTTAGGAAATTTATTTGGAGTTTATGTTATATCTGATACGAACAACAGTGAATTATTTATGAATTTTGGTGCATTCTTTTTAGAATATCTGATATGGCCATTGCCCTTCTCCATGGTTTCTTTGGGTTTCTTGATTTCTCTCTCTGTACTTGAATTAGATTTATCTGCTTCTCTTTCTCTCTCATACAAGCATTTATTCTGAGTTTCATTTGTTTTTTGAGCTGATTTTTTATGTGGGTTCTGCTCCTCGCCCTTTCTTTCTCTCTCTTAATTTTTTATTGTAATTTCAGGTGACCATGCTTGCTAAAATTTACTGGGGAGACGCGAGAGAGAAACTTTGTGAAGCTGTTGAAGATCTGAAGCTTGATTCATTGGTCATGGGAAGCAGAGGTCTAGGACAAATCAAGAGGTACAGAGCTCGACTTTTACATTGTTTTAGTGTATTTATTTATTGAGAAAACAGGACATTATCTCTAGATAACATCGACAAAAACTTGTAATAATAAAAAGATGTTGATTTTCAGATCTTGAAAACATAATAAAATGTTAAGCTCCCCTCTTTTTTTTATCTTTTATTTTACTTTATTTTATTTTATTTAGGTATACAATAAGAATGCTTACCTTTTGTAATTAATTTTGACCATTGGATGTGAAATACGGCAGTTGTATTTATTCTATAGACCAAACTCAAAGTTCAAATAAATTATTTTCAAATTTCGTGAGACACCTAGACTATCAAATTTCAAACCAGATGTCTCAAAAGTAATTGTGATCTCTTCAAGAAAAAAATTTATACAAGGTCCTAACATTAAATGTATAATTAAAGTGCATCCGAAATTCCATCATGAAATATTTGTTTGAAGTCTGAAAAAACCCTCTAATTTATCGTTGACATCAAGATGTGTGTATATATAAAATATTTCGAGCCCTTAAAATAGTGCATCAGGGTCCATTTTCAAGATTTTCATTTATTTATAGATCTACTTGTTTTGAACTTTTTTTTAAACTACAATTTTATAATTATAGATGTACTAACTTTATTGTGGTGAAATATATTCTACCGTATCCCTGTAGTTATAAGGGACTGTGTGCTAAAAGTCAAGGCACTTTTCTAAACCTTGTTGTGGTGTTGAGAGATAAGTAATGGGGGACAGCGACTGCAGTCATATATTGGAAAATTAAAATCAAGTACTGTTTTTTCTTATTTATTTATTTTTAATCGTTGCAATCAAAAGTTTTGTTCTGTTGGAGATAAGAAATTGTACTTTTAATATGGCAAATAACTTATTTATTCAATAAATATATTCTTGAGGCGTCATTAAAATGGTCAAACCATTTAAAAAAATCAACCAGGTTATCAAATCAATCAATTTATCCATACAATGGTTATATGAAAAGCATTATCTCACCCACCGCCTTGGCTATTTTAGTAAAAATACCCTAAATACCCTTAATTTTTATTTATAATCTTAAACAAGTATAAGCATTTTTGTAATTTTGTTTATAACATAAATAAACCAAAATACGCATAGTGTTTACTTTTTAATCCTAAGCAAGGCCCGGACCTAAAAAATAAGGGCCTCCCCCCTTCTTCTCGTCTCTTCCTTCTCGTTTGGTGGTCCATGCCCTCCCCCCTTCTTCTTATCTCTTCCTTCTCTTTTTTTTTGTGTTGTTTTTCTATGATTTTGTTTAGCCCGGCTGGGCCATTTTTTTTTGCTTTCCTTTTCTTGTGTTGTTTTTTTTTTTTTGTTTAGCCCGGCCCGCTTGGGCTTTGGCCTCTTTGACCTGGTCTGGAGCCAGGCCTGGGCTGGCCCTTTAGGAAAGGACCATGCTAGGGCCAGGGCTGCCCTGCCGCCTGGCCGAATGCCGGCCCTAATCAACATATATCTACTTGTTTAGGGTTTGCAAATAATACTAGAAGCACTTTTGTATTTTTTTTAACATTTTTTTTGAAGAAGTACTCGGATGAAATGACCTTTTCGAACAATGGTCGATTCTAGCTTGGGCAGGAATTCGACTCCTTTTCAAGCCAAGTGAGCCCTGCCTGAGCTTGAAAAGAGTGGCCAAAAGATGAAATAATCAGTGAGAAAGGCTGAAAGATCCGTAAATAAGAACAGTTCATAAAAAATTAAAAACTACAAATCAAGGAAGCACATAAAATACAAATAGGAAAAAAATCGATGTTATCTGCTTAAGAAGTTTTAAAAATGGAAAAGTTAGAAAAATAGAAAAAATAAGAATTCATTATAGTATTAATAAAAAATTAGCGTCATTCAAAAAAAAAAAAATAACTATAAATCAATTATGACCGGTTTAATAAAAAAAATCAATTTAATGAATTTAAATTCTGAAATGAAAAATGTCCAGAATTTCTAGGTTGATCCCCTGGTCTTCTCACTCAAAGTGAATTGAAGGCTCAAATCCTTGTCAGAGCTTCCTCGCACAGCCCAATCAAATTCCCAAACTACGTTTGGGTTTCGAGGTTGGATCTAGGAGATGAGTTCTTGAAAGATTTGGATGAGCACTGATCTGAATCGAGATCTCTCATGCCCTGTTTTTTTTAAAGTGAAAATCAAGCCTTTGATTGAATGAAGAACACAAAACCAAGCTTAAGGATCAAATTTTACAAAAAATTCACCATCTGTTACAAAGAAATTGCAAATGTTTTAAATCAAACAAAACTCTAGGGCCTCACGTTTTAAAAAATGAGAGGGAAAAAACTATTGGGTGTGGGGTGGGGTGGCGTGGCGTGGGATGGTACAATAATTGGAGTGATATTACTGTAGCAACTCACCCCAGTGCTCAGTAAACTCGGGTGAGTGAGTTTCTACAATAGTTGAACTAGTAAACTCGGGTGAGTCATCTTGAGTTTCTACAATACTTGAACAAGCACTGTATGGGGTACACACCTATGCCTTGTTTTGTGGTCGGCGGGGCGGCAGTCAAGCCTGAGTAACTCACTAAAATCCGAGTAGACCCGAAACATGTTTTCAGGTATAACCACTGGGTTAATAAATTGTTTAATTTGACCACCTCAATAAAATTCTTTTATATTACTAGTGTATCCATTTCAATAATATTTCGCCATTACCATCACTAAATTATTTTTATAAGCTCAAAGATTTATCTTGAATGCATAGCACATAGCTGCTCACTAATTTTGCATTATTTTTTAATGTTTACTTACTAATTTTAACACTATTGGGTGCTCAGGATTTTGCTTGGGAGTGTGTCCAACTATGTCCTTTCCACTGCAGCTTGCCCAGTGACTATTGTGAAGGAACCTAACTTCAAGCCATGAAAAGCTCTAAATGGCCTTTAGATATATACCCCTTTATGTGGTTTGGAACTTAATTTGCTATGTTACCAACGGAGAGAAAACTACTCATTTGCTAGTTTGATACAAATAAACTTGGGGAGAATGCATCCTTAATGGATTTCTTGGCCCCGTGGGAGAAGGTTGTGCTTTTATTTGTAGTCTCTCTCTAGACTTATGGTCTCGCGAGAGGGGCCATATGTACTTATTTTTCCTCTTTTTCCTTCTTTTGGATTTTTATTAGAGTCATATTTTAGTAGGTGTTGTTTCGATGGGTGATAATATGAGAGAGTAAATTTTGGTGAATTGGTACGCGTCACATAGATTCAATACAACGTCTGTTAGTAGGTGCGAGTTGGTTCAAGTAAAAGATTAAAAGTACATGGTTGGGAGTGATGAAAAAATATAAGGGAACCTATAGCTTTAGTGAAGGTATACCTCTTGATAGATCAGAATGTCGGATTAAGATTTATATAGTTCAAATAGTTGGGAACTGGTTTTGATGATGATGATTTTATCTGTTTTCCTAATGGAGTATATTGTTTTCATGTATCGAAGCTTTTCCTGTATCGTTGCTATCCATATTTCTTCTCTCTCGCCGTACATAAAGGATTTTGAAAAATTTGAATTTTATATATATTTTAGTATATATGATAATTAAATTTTGAATTTTTGAATAACATGGAAAATTGCTTATCGGGACGGCCCTATAAGCAAAGTTTGGCCTGTGTGATTTTCTGAGGCTCGATCACGTAATAGGCACCCAAAAGGAGGATCGATCTTAAGAAAGTTCCTAAATCATTGATTCTTAACTAAATTCTTCAGTCTGACCTTTTATTTCTCTTAAACCAAAGCATTTTATCTTTCTCATTGCATTTATATTTCTCTTATAGCGAAGCGTTTTATATTTCTCCACGCACTTCAGATCCATTATTTCCAAGTTTTTTATTCTTTATACTTTTACCAAACATACGAAAAACAAACGTCAAGAAATCTCTTGGTTAGTATATTGGGTTTGAAAAAATACTTGTTAGAGAAAATTATGTGGATTTGAGTCCCACACTAAAGATGAGAGAGTTTATTGAGTTGTATTTAAAAGCTCGCATTGCCGTGCATTATATTTTTAGTATAAAGGTGTGAGAGGAGGTGCATATGCAAAGCACACGCATGTGCGAGCGCATGGGCACAAGGGTGCTTGATGGTGCACTTTGTATTTGTATGAGAGGCTGCCTCTCACACAAGCATAGGTTGGGCTCGCGGCTCAATCTCTTTTTATGACCTCAAGGCTTGCGGCTCAATCTCTTTTTATTACCCTAACTCGTGTGGGATAGCCAACAGTCATCTAGCCATTAATGTGTGGGACGTCCGATGGGCCATTTAGCCGTTGATGAGATGGAGGTTAGGGTTAGTATAGCCAACGGTCATTTAGTCATTGATGTGTGTGGGACATCCAACGGCTAGCATGTGTGGGATAGCCAACGGTCATCTAACCACTAATGTGTGGGACATCCAATGGCCATCTAGTAGTTTATGAGATGGAGGTTAGCAACAACAGTGTGGGATGACGGCCAACAGCCATCTAGTCGTTGATGCGTGTGGGATGATGGCCAACGGTCATCTAGTCGTTGATGCGAGTGGAACATCCAATGATCATTTAGCCGTTGATGAGATGGCTGGCCATTGATGCGTGTGGGACATCCAACGCTCATCTAGTCGTTTGTGAGATGGAGGCTAGTAGCAGCAATCAATTGCATATAACTTGTAGTTGTTGGTGGTGCATGTGAGTACCATTATACTAAATGAGCAAATGCATGTAACCACCATTACACTAAATGAGTAAGTGAGGCTAGTAGCATCCATCAAGTGCGTATAACTTATAGCTGTTGGTGGTGCATGTAACTACCATTATACTAAATGAGTAAGTGCATGTAATCACCACTACACTAAATGAGCAAGTGCATATAACTTGTAATTGTTGCTTGGTGGTGCATGTAACTACCATTATACTAACTGAGCAAGTGCATGTAACCACCACTATACTAAATGAGCAAGTGCATATAACTTGTAACGATTGGTTGTGCCTGTAATCACCACTATACTAAATGGCCATCCTCTTGGTCCTTTATAATAAAGGCCCTCCTACCCATACGAGTTAGACATTTAGAACATGTTTTTGAGCCTCTGAACAACACGTTTCTCTAAGATTTCAAGGAGTAAAACCACTAGCTAACCTCTTTCTCTACTCTATTTTTGTCTCTTTCTGTCTCTAAACTATCAAGGCTCTGGTGTCTAGTATGTGGGTTCTAAGTTCAGGTGCATAGAGTTTAGAAACATCAAAGAGACCTATTTGTTTTCTTATATCCTCGATAACGAATTGCCCTTCTTATGCGCATAAAAAAGAGTATCGAAAGAGGGTAAATATCGTGTTGAGAGAGCGCTCCTGCATGCTTGAAAACACAAAGAGTACAAGCTTTTAATTTTTTCAAAATCGTACTACCCCCATTTCAACCACCATAATTTCAATATCCCTATTCATGTCCCAATAAGAAAACAATTTATCTCAAAACCAAAAGTGTCGTCCAATATTAAGGATTGTATACTATGAGACCAACTATTTCTTATACAAGAAGGTCACTAACACTTTTAGCAATTGGATATGGAATCCAATAAATGTTTGTGTGTCACAACATTTGAGAAAATTTAATTTAAACATTTTGCTCAAGCAATGACATGTTCTCAACCACCCGATTTCTAATCTAACAGTCAATAATTATTGTGACCTCCTTATATCAAAAGTAAATAGTCTCATTGTATACATTGCCCAAAAATTAAGTCTTGAACTAGGAATATTCCTCTCCCGTTTCTTTACATAGTTCTCTTCAACCAATGTAATTTATATTTTCTTAATATAATTTGAATCCTTTATTCCAAGTTTTTATTAAAGGAAAATGTTTATAAGGTTGCAATCTTAAAATGTAGAATTAAGGTGCACCTAAAAAATCCGTCGTAAAAAGCTGTTTTGAAGTTGGAAAACCATCAAATTGATCATCACGACCTTGAGATATATGAATATGAAAAAAAAAAAAAAAAAGATTTCAAATCCCAAAAATAGTGCATCTTTCAATATATTATCTGGACCGTCTAATTTTAAGATTTTTGTGTATTTATAGATCAATTTGATTTGAATTTTTTGAGTCTAACATTTTATAATTAGATATGAAAATGGATTCTCATCCCATCATAATAAATTTTGACACCAAAATTACATTTAAGGTAAAATTTAGAGATGTGCCTTATTTTGTTTGTTTAAGATTGCTACAAACCACACCGTTTATTAAATATATAATTTTCGAAAACGATGGAGGAGACTCATTGCTGTTACCACATAAACCATTTTGAGGGGTGTGAAGCTCCTACAAAAGTATTTGAGGAGTTTCCTCCACTCCATAAAATAGTTTCTTCCAAACATTTTCACCTGGAGTTTCAGAAATGCTTCAAATCTTTCATTTTAATTAAAAATGGTTCTAAAGGATCTAGAGCTTACTCCAAATCAAATAATATGCGGAGAAAATCAAAAGGCTATTTGCATTTCTTTTGGCACCTCTATTACAGTTCTTTTGATGAGGGGAGTGCCGATATCATTTACTGCGACTTTTTTGTCACTTTGGCAAACACATCTACTCTTCATAATTACTTTCTGGTCGTCATTTTTATTTTTATTTATTTTTTAATGTTAAAGTGACTGTTTTTCATTAAACTTCATCAGTCTTTGTCTCATGTATTGCTTGTTCTTACAAAATCTCAGTCTTTCTGTACATTCACAATCACTCTAGCTAATTTTCATCATCAAATAGGAGTTACCATATGATCCCAGGATAGCCTAGTCCTAAACGGGGCTATCCCGGTTATCAAACGTGCCCAAGAAGTTATATGAGCTTCTGCAAACAATAGTTAATGAAGGGAAATGAAAACTTGTATCTGTAACGTTGGAGTTCACCTCCTTATATTAATGAAATCTTCCTGTTAACACTAAAAAAATAAAATCAAACCATGTGATAACTGGTAAGTACCCAACGCCATGTGCTTAAAACCTCTTATATGTGTTATTGTCAAAAAAAAAGAAAAAAGAAAAAAAAGATCGAGTTTTAAATTCAAAAGAAAAATCTTAAATCATAGGGGGGACAGAGTTATGGTATATTTTGTATATCGATGTTTTCATAATCCATCAACAACCAAAATGTGGCTCCACCTAACCTCGCTACCACATCTGCCTCTACATTCACTTCCCCAAGAAGGTTAGAAAAGGAAAAGTATTCGAGCGCATGAGCCCACCGGCTCGTCAACGTTGTGTAAAGCGCACCGGGTCAAATCAGATATGGGCAATGGTAAGAACATCCCCAATAAATCGCCTATTTTAAAGTTTAATTATTTTTTATTTTTATATCTATGATCAGCTTGCTTGGCCTAGATCACGAATCCCTAAAATTTTGGATAAAAAATCCATCTTTAAGGCGAATTTTAGTTTGGGGGACATGGGTGCAAGTTGGCTGACTCATGAAAAAACCCATAAAATGGAAAATCACTTCCTTTCTCCACGTAATCCCTTATTGTGTACTACTATATAGTTTTTTAAGTACTCTTGATGCGGTGTTACACATGATATAGTATTCGGAAAAGCTTTTTATGTTCCCTTACAACATAGAAGTTCTACGTTTTTCTTATCCAACCCTCCATTTTTTAATGGAGGGCTAAGATTGCCCCAATCACAATGTCACGTCTCTACACTGTTTTATTTTTAATTTTTTTTCTATAAACTATTTTGACACCAAATTTTGGACGTCCATTCCTATATTAAACTCGCTACGAAAACTATAAATTTTTTTTTTCAATAAATAAAATGATCAAAATACCCTTGAAAATTTCAAGAGGTATTTCGGTCATTGTTTTTATCAATAAATTATTGTTAATTTTTTTTATAGATGCGCCCCAATGAGAAGATGACACGTACCAAATTTCATATTCAAAAAAATTGTATTAAAAAAAACTAAAAATAAAATACTTTGAGACATCGGATCTAAGATCAAACGGTGAGTGGCTCTCTTGATAAAAAATGGACGGCTGGATGATAGGGGGACATAGAACTTCTATGTTGTAGGGGAACATAGAAAGCTTTCCCATAGTATTTAAGGGTTCCCTTCGATTGATAGTTTTTTCCCTCTTTCTCGTATCAACCTCAATACCATGATATTATATGGGATTGTATATAATGAGATCATTTACCATTCATACAGGGAGGTTACAATTACTTACAACCATTCGATATGAAGTCTGATAGCATGGATGTATCATAAAGTTCCATAAAATTTCATTTGAACTTTGAGTTTGGTCGATGAAATAAATACAGTCGCCCAATTTCATATCCAATGATCAAGATTAATTGTGACCACCTTGTACCAAAGGTAAATACTCACATTATATATTTTCCTTGTATCAATGAGTATTCTTTAACTACTTTTTATTTCCCTTTTCTCGGAGGAACTGATGATCATAAACTTTGTCCACACATTTTTTCCTTAATTTTGACATTTAAAATACTTATAGTTATCACGGAATTTAGAATGCCGTATAAAATGGGAAGTCATTATGGTACTTAATGCAAAGGCTTCACAATAATATGATTACTGTAAAGGCTACTTTGATAAAAAAAAGAAAAAAAAAAAAGGTGTAAATGAAGTTTATGATAGTTGAAGGTTTTTTAATAATTTGAAAAAAATAAAAATATATTTTTTATAATTTTCAAAAAAAACTCTGGTATGGCAGAATTGATTATAACGAGCTGGATTCGAACCCTAATACGGAGAAGATCAGTTTTTATGGTCAAAAAAGAAAAAAGAAAAAAGAGAGAGTTTCTAAGTTTTTGTAAGAATTTTGATAGGCACCGAGTTGGCAATGAATTTGAGCTTTTAAAATATAAGTTGGACTTGAGGTGGCATGAGTCCATTCGTCGAGTCAATACACAACTCGGCATCAGACTTGTCGTTTGTAAGCACGTTTTCGAGTTCCAACCACCTGAAAATTTGAACCAACGGCTAAGATATTACCGCCAAAAAAGCTCATTTTAATCTTGACCGTCCATTGAAAGAGCCAGGCGCAAAAAACGCGCGGGAAGGCGTAACCAACTCCATTGTGCGCCTTCGGTTTATTAGGGTTTCTGTGCTACAGAGTTCAAAACTTCAAATGCATTCGAGGTTAATTAGGATTTTTAACGTTTAATAGCTCGAAATCTATGGTTATTTCCTTGATGATTCAGAATTTGATTTCTCAAGTGCAGATTTAAGGTTTATGGTTCAGTATTCAAATGCATTTCAGATTAATGGTGTTTGAAGTTTCAGAGCTCAAAATCTAAGGTTTTTCTCCCAGAAGATTCAGATTCAAATTTGTTTTCACAATCTTGAGTTCGGGTTTTATCGATTTAGTGTCAGTTCATAGAAAGGATTTTTGAGGTGTCAGAGCTCAAAATCTAGGGTTTTATTGTTGGAGATTCAGTTTTTGCTTTGCATCTGAGGTTGGGGGAGCATCTTATAACCAGGTAATGCTGCTTCTACCCTTCTGAGAAGACCTGTCACTTTAAATACTTCGGAGAATCCTTAAATACATACCTTCGTGTTTTACTGATCTGATTTCGAAAGTTATTTTTTTTCTTCCGAATTGTGATCTTTATATTTTTCTATCCTCAATAGAACCCCACATTTGCATTGTGTTTTTTTGGAAGAATACATGCTTTATCATGATATTCCATTTAATCTGTTAAGTTTTAATTGCATCATTGGATTCATAGAGTTGATATTCTGGTGCTACTATACATTTACAGTGACTGCGTGTAACTTGAGTGGGAATTGTAGAATAAATACTATCATTTTGTCTACCTTAACTCTTCCCATCAATTTCTCCAGAAAATTGCCCAAAAAGTTAGAGCGACAATTTCAAAAGGGGGATGATCATGTATATTTCAGATACACGGAGTCTTGAGCTGGAATAATTGCAAATGGGCAAAATGTTAAACACGTCATCTCTAATGCGTATTTTGATAAATTGGATATAAATAATTGACCAACCCTTGTTAGTACAATGTAAACCTTGAACTAACCATTTGGGTTCTTAGCATACAAATATCATGGCTCTCCACACTTGTTCAGAGGTAGTTTTTGCATGTTAATTGCTTAGTTTTTGCACTTGGTTCTTGAAATTTCAGAAAAACATTATTTGGCAATTAATATTTGCTGTGAAATATTTGTTGTTATCCATAGCTTTTCTTGTTCGCGATGGTTTTTATCAATCTTGTGCCTATTATATTCGATGGTGAGTCAGAACTCTAAATTAGAAGTCTTCATAATGGGAAGCTAAATTACAAGTCTGGATCAGGCGTGTTTGATAACAGGAAGCGTCTTCTTGGAAGTGGGAACTTATTGATAGTGTTCATGTTTCGTGTTTGATAAAAAAATGGAAGTTCAAATGGGAACTTCATGGTACTGTTCATCTTCCTGTGTAAAAAAAGTTCCAACCAAAAGGTCGGAACTTAAAATTGGAACTTCGTTTTAGAACTTCACCCACGAACCCTAGTTCTTCTTCTTCTCTTTTCTTCGTTCCCATCTTCCCATCTTCAGCCGTTGAGCACCCCTCTCTTCGCAGCACGACCCCTCTCTTATGTTCTTCGCGTTTAGCCGCCGAGCCACCCCTCTCTTCGCAGCACTCCACTATCTTAGGCAGACTCCTCTCTTCACACGCAGCTCTCGCTAGGGTTTACTCAGCTGTTCTTGAGCTCTGATCCTTGCTATTGATCTTGAGGTATGCTATTGACTCTTATTCTTTGTGTTATTGATCTCTGTGTTTGTTCTTGAGCTCTTGAAGCAAAGAGCTCTTATTCTCTCTGTGTTATTGATCTTTGTGTTTGTTCTTGAACCCTTGAAGCAAAGAGCTCTTATTCTCTCTTTGTTATTGATATTGAGGTATGCTATTGACTCTGATTTTCTTCATCTTTCTCTCTCTATCTCTTATTTGAGCTCTGATCCTTCCTATTGAGCTCTGATATGTGTTCTTCATCTTTCTCGAGGTATTTGCCCCCGATTGCCCTAACCACAGCGAATAGTATTGATGTGTTTTATTTAATAAAATCAGAGTGAATAGCATACCTTTTATTTTTGATTTTACAGATTTTTGGCAACAGCCCAATAGATCTGAGCTCAGTTACAAAAAAAAAAAATAGAGCTCAGTTGCGCACTGATTATTCAAACAGTTTGTAATAAAATCTGAGTCCTTTTTTTCTGTGTTTATTTGGCGATTTTACGTATTTTTTGCAACAGCCCAATAGATCAGAGCTCAGTTACAAAATAATAGAGCTCAGTTACAAACTGATTATTCAAACAATTTGTAATAAAATCTAAGTCCTTTTTTTTTTGTGTGTTTATTTGGCGATTTTACAAATTTTTCGCAACAACCCAATAGATCAGAGCTCAGTTACAAAAAAATAGAGCTCAGTTACAAACTGATTATTCAAACAAGTTTGTAATAAAATCTAAGT